TATTTAAAAATTTTGAGACAGGGTGTGCAGCATTGCTCATACTGTCATTGTTCTGGATGCAAGTGATCCTCCTGCCTCAGCCTCCAGAGTAGCTGGGAGGTCGGATGTGCACCAAAGCTTTGGGAAACTGAGGAGGATGTATAAGCACCTTTCAGTTCTAGCTCTTTCGGTAGCACCTGGCTCTCCACCCCTTCAGGCCCACAGGCCCATTCACTGCTCATGGCCTTGATCTCATCTCCTGCATCCCAGGGTTAAATACGACATCAGAGCGGCCATGCCAGCCAGAGCTACGAGGGCCACGGCAGGCTCGCATCAGTAAATTTAATGTCTTTCAAATGCTTGTCTAGCTACTATTGACTTTCTCAGTTATGATGTGGAGTAAACTTAAATTAACTTCATTGTTTTCTAGCTACAAAGCAGTATTTGTTTATTGTAGAAAATTCGAATGATCCAGAAAGGCTTAAAGAAGAAATAGTCCTCATGGGCCGGGGAGATGGCTCAGTAGAATAAGCGCTTGCCTGGCAAGCCCAAGTGTCTGAGTTCAATCCCCGGTTCCGCAAAAAAAAAAAAAAAAAAAAAAGTCCTCAGGAGTGTGAAGCGTGGAATTCCTGCGACCTGAAGAACTTTTGTTACTATTTTGATGTGTGCCTTTCCAGTTGCTCCACCTCTGGGATGCATAATGTTATCAGGAGGCTTGATGGATTTTAATGGCTTTTTAAAAATTTCATATCATATTGTGATTTCTCAAACTCTTAATATCTCTTTAGTGAGATGCTTTATGACTGCAGGCTTCTTCCCTGGGTATGATGATTGGTATTTATGCAGCCAGCCTCCATGCACGGACTTAAAGATTGAGTTTAAATAATATTGTAACATAAATACGTGGTTGTGCGTATTCCCAATTATTTTCCCTGGATGCCTTGTTAGAGCTTATTTTCTCAGGCCAGAGGTGCTAGGATCTTTGCTGTATTTTAAGGCTTCTGCTCTGTGTTGTACACTGGCTTTTTCTGCTCTTTGCTTCCTGGTGAGGTTCTCAGGGATTAGTGATTCCCAGAACCCCTGTCCACACCGCAGGAGGTTCTTCAGCAGCACTGAGGCCCATGCCAGGGAAGGTGCAGCAGATGGGGAACCTGGGCATTCTTTCCCTCCACGGTGACCTCAGCCCGCCACCTCTTTGTAGGCTGTCTTCTCACGTGTTCTGGCCACGGCCACTGCGACCCTATCACCAAGCGCTGCGTGTGCGCCCCCCTGTGGATGGAGAACCCTGTACAGCGTTACCTGTGGGACAAGGAAAGCAATTGTGGTGAGTGCTGGCGGGGTCGGGCTCTGTGTCCCCAGAGGTCAGAGACACCCGCCTGGCCTTGTGGCCATAAACTCTCAGCTTGTGCTCTCCTGAAGCCCGGAGAACCTGTTGCTTGGTTGTGAGCTAAACTGCCCCGCAGTGCTCCTCTGGGGTGTGTGTCCAGCCCTGTGTAGAAGACTCCCCAGTGAGGAGATGCACGTGGGCAGAGTACATTTGCCCTCTGTCCCCTGTGTTGCTAAGAAAGCTGCTTTGGACCGCAGCTGTTTCCACATTGCAGCTTCCTTGGCTTAGGCATCTGGTGATGCATCCTCTTATCTGGACTGACTGGCACCAAAGAAAAACCCTGACCACTGTCAGCATCTACCCAAGCTGTCATCAGCAATTGGAGCCCCAGTGTCAGAGCCAAACTGGGGCCCTGTAGACTTTTTGGTTCGCTACAAGGGATGAAAATGACATTTCCTGCCAGGTTACTGCTGAGAGTACATTTGTTGTCTTGAGGATTGAGGTGGGCACATTTGGCAGAAGAAAAGGTAAGAGCAGGCTGCCAAATGGTGTTCCTGTGAAACCATGTAGACTTTTGGCTAAATTTATAAATAGCCAGCTTTAAGTCTCTGTTCCAAGCAATGCCACTGAGTCAAGCCTGAATATTTACTCCATCAGCTTCTCTGCATCCGAGATGCCACTGCAAGCTTTTTACATCAGATTTCTGCAGGGACTGACAGGCTTGGGGATCTGGGAGTTTCCACATTGCCCTCTGTCTCTCAGTAGTGTCGCTGTGCCACTGGACGCCACACAGACACATGAATGATGTTGTTAAGACCAAGCCACAGCTTGTAAGGGAGGGCTTTGATTCCTGAGATTCTGGCAGGAGGGTTTTGACGTACCCATGTGCACACTCACGAGGCATTCCCACTTCATTGGTGCAGGGTCGTTGTTTTTGTTCTCAAGCATGGCACACACTCTGCAAGGTCCCTGACCCGAATGAGCGGCCAGCAGCGAGGCAGTGGGATCGCTCTTGACATGTCTGTGTCTTGCCCCGCTGTGCTCTGCAGCCAGTCCCCAGGTGGTGCCAACACCCAAGGCCTCTGCTTGGGTGGACTTGGGAGCAGTTCCTAGGAATCATCCCAGCTGAGCTGTTCTGCAAGCGGCATCTAACCCTGTCCTCTCTGGTCTTCTGGTTTTCAGAGTGGAGCATCCTCTACGTGGCCGTGCTGGCTTCCGCTCTTGCAGTGCTCGTGGGAGGCCTCGCCTGGTTTTGCATCTGCTGCTGCAGGAGGTACCTGGTGTGCATATTTCTCCATAGGAAATAAAGGTGCCTCATGAGGTGCAGCTCACACAGTGTTTGCTAAACTGCCAAACCATGGCACAGATACTTCCTGTCATCAGGGGGATGGGCCTAAGCAAGTGGCTTGGTCCTGGGGGCGGCTCTCTCCTCCAGCACTCACATCAGGGAGGGCCGGCAGCTCTGTGACCTCTCAGTGTGACACAGGGTCACACCACTTCAGGGCCCTGCTGGTCTCAGACAGTCAAGCAGTTGTAGAACTCTACTGGTCTTGTATAGTTGTAGAACTACACCTGATAGACTTTGATTTTTTAATTTTATGAACCAACAATCTGATCTATTTGAATCCTTGCTAATACGTTTGAAACTTGAAGTGAGGCAATAATACCAGAGAACTTTTGTAGTAGGTTTTTCCCTCAGAGCTGACCTCTGAGAGCTCCTATGGTCTGGATCTCCCAGAACCTTGTGCCACTTTCCTTGAGGAGACTTGTAGACAAAGTAATTACTTAAATCCTCTGAAGAGAACACTGCACGTATTTTTCTGTATAACACCCTATAAATCCTCTCCAGTGATGTGCTCAAAATATAGGTATACTGAAATTAACAGCTGTTTTTCAGAAATTTCTCATGAATTATTTTAGTTTTGTGACCATGCTCCCAGCGGTGACTGGTATAAAAGAGAGCCATGCACTGAGAAAGGCTTCACCCCTTAAGCTTCTGCAGAACCTGCAGGTGCCATCTGTCCTCACCTGGTGTGCCTTGAACATTCTGCAGCTCTGTGCCAGACACATCAGTTGGCCCGTGATGGCAATGAAAGTGGGGACGGCTGTGGGTGTGGAGGAAGAATTCTCCACTGTGATGCACGGCTAAGGGCGTTCCATATAGTGCCTGTGTCCCCTGCAGCCACTGGGAAGATGACGGCTCTTATTCCCACTTACAGCAGAGAACAAGGAGACACAGAAATCTGAAATAATTTTCCAAAATCACCAGCTAATAAGTGTCCAAGCTAGAGACGACGGGCCCAAGGTCTGAATCCCTGCCTGAACAGAAGATTGACATTCCTATTAGCACTCCATCATGGATTTATATGTATTTTCAAATAATCCCCTACAGCATAAATTGAGACACAAAAGGCCAGCCCGGTTTTCCTGTGCTATGAACTAAAAAAAAAAAAATAAAAAAGACTGAATTTTGCTGAATAATTCTGGGAACTCGCTATGTTACAATTCCTGTTCTCTGTCTCCACGCCAACCATCTGTAGTTTCATTCCTGCATCTTTGGATATTCCAGGAGAGAACTTGCCCACCCAAGTCCTTGTGAGTGCGGAATTTCTTGAGGAGAGACCCTCCCTGGACCAACACACATTTAGGGCTGCGGTGAGAGGCTCAGGTGTGGGCGAGACCTGTCGCTAGGGGGCGATAGCTGCGTGGCCCGTCACTCCTCAGTGGGTCTCTGCAGGGTGTTTCTGCACAGTGCACTTAAGCACCCCGCGTTCTAAGCTGGCCTCGCACGTGCCTCATCCACGAGGTGCTGTGATGCCAAGAGTTAGACTCTAAAGGCAAAACGTTTCCCGTAGTGTCGTCTGCCACATGTTTGAAATGCTGGATCTTAGTTTTCATTCCAAGAACATGAGCTGAGCTTTTCATTGTGCCTTTCAGAAGAAAAAGGACTAAAATAAGGAAAAAAACTAAGTACACCATCCTGGATAACATGGATGATCAGGAAAGAATGGAACTGAGGCCCAGATACGGTAAGAACATCTCCGGTTATGAAATCCAGGTATTTGACTGAGCTTTAACTTGGGTTAGGAGAAGAAGAAGCAGCGGCAGTCTGCACGGGGAAGGTAGAGCCTGGGCATCTGCTGAAAAAGCCAGCACCGTTGATCCTAAACATGGGCTCTGGGTGCGGCAGGAAGGGGCGGGGCAGCTTTGCACCGGAACTGTGGTGGTGTTTGGAAGGCATTTGGGAAGAGGTCCTGTGGCTTGCTGGTCCTTGCTAAGCGGCCAAAGGGCAAACAGTGCTTCCCCCAGGAAAGGCCCCTGTGCTTGGCCTTGTGCTTTGTGTGTGGAAGGAGGCAGGCAGTCCTGCGTCTTCCCTTGGCTCATTTCGGAATGCCATTCCCAAATGCCTGTCAGCCCGGATGTGCAGCCAAGTGGCCTTCAGCAAGGGTTTAATAGCAAGGGTTTTCAGCAGCTGGGTCCCCCAGTGCTTGCGCAGATTGAGGTTTCTCAAAGCATATTGATCTTACAGTTAGAGACATGCCACGCCTGCCTCAGGTGACTTTTAGATTCTTGTGTATTAACTGCCGCATCCTTAATGTGCTTTCCTTGGCCCTCTAAGGCTGCAGACCACCGATCCCATGGATTTTCTATACTTCAAGGCTTATGACTCGTTCTTCCACAGGGATATAACCACTTGCTGAGCTGTGAAGTGCAGAGTGTCATCCTGTGACCGTGGTGAGCGCCAGGCCTGTGCGCAGTCACCAGGCATCCCTGCAGATGCGGCTGAGAGGCCTGGTGCTCCACTCCAGGAGCTCAGACGCAGGGAGGCTCAAGATCAGATCTGGGGGCACGGCAAAGCCATGGCCTTCGATTGTGCATGGAGAGTGGCTGGCAGCAGGGATGGCACAGGAAATACAGCAGTGGGTGCTTATTGGGGATCATCTTTTTTTTTTTTTTTTTTTTTTT